ATTATTGCTCTTTTCACCTGGATTTAATACACTTAGTTGCTCCTGCTGTAGGGATGCTGTCCCCTCTCATCTCATACCTCAGGTTTCAGACTAAATTCCAGCCTTTACAAAAAGTTCCATTTCAAACAGGCTCCAGTATTCTCACTGTGTGTAATTGAAGAGATTGTCACCAGGACATATTCATAAGTGGATACATTTGATCACTTGCAGTTTTTTTCTCCCTCTCCTCCCCCTTCCCGTTCCTTCTTTTTTTAACCAAAATCATCTTAGAAGATTCCATGCCTTAGAGGGATGCAAAAACATTAGGCCAAATCATCTAATTCAGACTTGGGTTTTATTTTATTGTGGGCTTTTGGTCTGAAGCACAGTGTTTCATCAACATGCCGTCCTTTGCAGCAGCCAGTTCCGGTGCCTTGGACATCTCCGCATTTCCCACCCTGGGAGCACAAAAGCATTCACATCTCGATCGTCCTGCACCCCTCCGCCCCACCTACTCATTAGGGTTCCTGTGGAATTCTCCTCCTCCAGGGACTTGTGGAAATTTGCCCACAAGATGCTTTTCACTTGTCCACACAGAGTCCGGGCTAGCCTAGGGCTTCCCAAGCTGGGCCGCCACAGCTGCAAAAGTGGCACTGTGCTGTTGCCACTGCAGTCCGGCTGCAGAGCCCAGTGAAAGGCTGGGTGCTGCGGCCTCACTGCAGCCAGCATGCCACCACACTGCCGTCGCTGCCTTGGTGCGGCTCTGGTCTCCGGCACCTCAGCCAATGGTGCTTCTGCGAAGTGAGGACAAGAATACTTCCTCGCTGCTCATTACAGTGAGGACGAAGCGTTCTAGAACGGGCTTGGTTAAGCACAGTGAGTTAGATACATAGTGTTTTCTTCTGAGTTGAACTGAACTGCTTCTGCTACAGCCAGAACTTCCACCTGGAACTAATCTAGTTCCAACTAGCTGATGTTGCAGCTGCCTTTGAGCCCGGTAAGCGGGGACTTTGCTACCACCAGCACCTTCTCATTTGGGATCCCTGCTAATATCTTGGCCAATTTTGTTCCCAAGAATGAAAAATAAAGTGTTTCTTTCATCAGGTGTGGGAGCGGTGGGAAGTCTTGTGCCGCAAAGTTTCTAAGTTGTGAGCTGTTAATAATTCATGACGTGCGGGGCGCGAACATGGTGCAGGAATGCCTGAATCCACCAGGGTTCTGCCAGCAGCTGTTGAATTCACTACCCTCCAACCCTTAGGTCCGTTTGCTGAATTTACTGCAGCAGACACCTTGCTCCCTTTGGTAAATTTTCTGTTGTGTCTCATTCTATCTTACTTTATTTGAGGTTCCCCCGTGAATCAGACATAGTTGTATACTTGTAAAACCTAATTGTGGTCATGATTTAATTATTTTCCCAAGAGGATCCCAAGTCTGGTAATCCAGTTTATGCCAATAGTTTGTGTCTGTAAAAAGGATGAAGGGTGGTGGGATCTTCTTATTCTCCCTAACTTGGATGTTATCTAAGTCTCCTCTCCAGCCCAGCAAAGGCCCCACATCTGCAACCAGCTATAATTCAAGTTTCAAACATTCTATTTACATATAGCTCCCCCACTAAGACACTATATTCTCTCATCTTCCCTTTTTTTTTTAAATGATAAACTATTTCAAACATTCAGAAAACTATGCTGAAAGAACAAACTATTTCAAACATTCAGGAATCTATAGAAACGAACACAACAAATACCATGTAGCCACCTCCCACATTTAATGAATGTGAACATTTTGCCATCTTTACTTCAGATATTTTTAAATAAATACAACATTACAGAAATAGTCAAGGTCCTCTACTCACTTCTTCCTAGCCCATAACTCTCTAATTCTCCCAGAAGTTAGCATTCCTATTTTTTTTCCCATCAGTGTTTTATGCATTTTGTTTATGTGTGTGTATCCATATCAATACATAATATTATTTCATGGGTTTAAAAATTAAGATTTTGATATTGTTCAGTAAATAACAATATCCAACTTGATATCTTCAAACTAGATTTTTCAGATTTTTTTCCATGTTGATACATTAGACATAATTCATTTGTTTTAACTATTATAGAGATTATCTTTGAGAATATACGCAACTGGATATATACATCTCTCAATGGGTAGGCCATATGGCTACTTTGAAGAAGTCCCCTTTTTTCCCATTCTTCCAACTTGTGCCTTATTATCTCTAAAATTTCCTTATTACTTCTGATTTTGATTATTGGTTTAGTTCTAGATGCCTTCTTACCATATTTGGTAAGTGTTGGAGGAAGTAAATTGATATCTGAATTAGAGATGTGGCTCTGAAATGATTTAAAGATGCTCCAAGGGGAGCAACTGGCTGACTCAGCCGGTAGAACATATGACTCTTGATCTTGGGGTCATGAGATTGAGCCCCACATTGGGTATAGAAATTACATAAAAACAAAAAAAAGTAAGGATGCTCTAAAGGTTTATATGAGATTGATCCAGATGCTGTAAGTGGGATAACGGGAGCATTGGGCTCAGGGTAAAACAGTATGAGCTTGAATTGTAGCCCACTCTTTTCTGGTTGTGTGATTTTGGCAGTTCTCTCTAAGCCTCTAAAAACTCTCTAAACCTCAAATCGTAGGTAGTTTATCAAGTTGTTTTGGGTATTAAATAAAATAATTCACATAAGGCTTGTGGCGTAGTGCTTGGCACAGAGTAAGTCTTCAGTTCATCTTCATTATGAGTAATGGTTATTAGATTACTTGAATGCAAATACCTCCATTTTGATAGTGGGGTCTACAGATAATTACTCTGCCTCTTGGCTAGAGCTGTCTGCTTATGTGTGTTTTCAGAGAGGGATGTGGAGGGAGTAATTGAACAGCTCTTATAACCTTAAGCTTATACATGGAAGATCCCCCAACTCATGCTTCAAAGGCAAGATAGACTTTTGGATGTGTTGAGAATTCTGTATTAACTCAAGGGAATTGTTCAATATCCTAACATCTAAGAGCATTATCAATAATGAGATAGAAATACTGTGTTGAAATATATTCTACAAAGTAACTTCAATAATTCTGCTACATTAAATACAATTTAAAATAATCTTTTCATATGTATGCTTTAACTTATTGGAGACCTCCATGCACCTATTCAACTTTCCATTTAAGCCCACCTCTAAATGAAAATGTTTATTAGAAAATAAACATACATATATGCACATAAAAGTGGTGACAAGCCATCAGATCGAGGGGAAAACTTTGTACCTTAAGGGATTTCTGTGACTCTGTCTTCAGTCTCAGACAGCCTATGTTGTGTAACTGTTCCTTGAAGGCATTATTCATCTAAATGTACACAAATTCTATTAAGGAGATAAGGTTTGTTCTTTGCTGGGAAAAATGCTAAGGCTAAAGGTAGAATGAGAACCTCTTCAGAGTGGTTGTATCTTCCAAAGTCACAAATAATTAGTAGGGGTTACTCAGAGTTTGGTTATTTCAAATGGCTCTAATAAGACAAAACAGTGACTGTGATGAATGTAGCCAGAGACACAGATAGAAGTGGTCAAATAGGGGTGTTGAACACAAGGAAGATTCACACAGAAGGCTCTTCATTAACGCCCTAATCCTGGTGATAAACTGAGGGAGCTGTTGGTTTTCCAAGCAGCCAGTGATGCGTAATGGCCCTCTCTCAGTCTGACTTCTTCTCTTTATTCTGTGGGCATTCTGAAAATGTCAGTTCTTTAAAAGGGCCAGAAAATACAGAGATATGGGTGTTGGAAATATTGCATGTCTCTGTTGAGACCTGGCTCCTAATACTAGTTTTGTACCCATTTTCGAAAACTGCATGCATAATGCAAAGACTTTTCTCTCCCAAATATAATAATGTCTGTACTAATAGCAGAGATAGCATGAAAAAAAATTTAAGTTTATTTATTTATTTTTGAGAGAGAGAGAAGGAGGGACAGCGAGGGGGAGAGAAAGAATCCCAAGCAGGCTCAATGCCATTAGTGCAGAGCCCAATGCGGGGCTCCAACTCACCAACTGTGAGATCATGACCTGAGCCAAAATCAAGCTTAACCGACTGAGCCACCCAGGCACCCCCAACATGATTTTTTTTTTACTGCATTTGTACAGTAACTATTAAATCTTTGGGGACTATGTATAGGCTATATGTAAACTACTTAGTAAGGCAATATAGAGATGATTTTCATTAAAAGATACAAGATATTTTCATCATATAAACAGGAATGGGATGTCTCTTAAGATTATCTGGACACAATTTCTATACTTTGACTCACTGTAAATATGAATTTTTCATAGAGAATTCAAATTCTTAGGATTGATGAAATTCAATAGATTTTATTTTTATGTATTTCAATAGCATTTCATTTTTCCTAAATTTCTTTCTTTCTTTTTTTTTTTTGAGAGAGAGAGGGTGCAAGTGACTGAGGGGCAGAGAAAAGGAGAGAGGGGGAGAGAGAGAGAGAAATGGGGCTCACCTAAAGTGGGGTTCCAGCTCACCTGATGTAGGACTCAAACTCACAAACAGTGAGATCATGACCAGAGCCAAAGTCAGATGCTTAACTGACTGAGCCACCCAGGTGCCACACCCCCTACATTTCTTATAGGGACTTTTTCATTTTAATTAACATCTTAACATGAATATTTGTATTTATATACTTCAAATCTCAGTAAGAGATTAGGAGCAGAAAGCCTTACAGAAGTTCCTGCAGTTTTGCTTAGACAAATTTCCTTTATTTTCAAGGAAGAAATAATTGATTTTCAGTATTCTGCCAATTAATGGAGATTTGCACATCATATTACTTCAGCAATACCTCTCTGCATATTACCTGCAGAAATCTAAAAATAGAATGCCAAAAATAGAACCTGAAAGAGGGTCAAGAAGAGGAGAAATGAAGAGATTCTTATATTGATTTAGGTATCATGAGTTCTTATACTCTCAATGAAAAATTTTGTATTATTTGAGATTCATCAAATAACTTATTTTTTTTCTTACAGACACTCATACCTGCTTCATAACTGCAGCTGGCTGTAAACCTGAACACTGATGCTTGACCTATTGTAAGTCAGAAAGTTATATGTGGATAAAAGCGGCTTTGCATTTTAACCTCTTTCCTATCTTTACTTAAAAAAAAAAAAAGAAATTTAACTCATAAATGGGTAGAGGCATAAAAGCCTTTTTGTGTCTGTAAGCAAATGTCTGACCTTGTTCTGAATTGATAAACTACATAGGCCTAGCTTTACTACTTCAAACTCCCAGAATTCCTGTAGTGGTGCTGGTGGATAGTCAATAAATCATTGCTATTGTTGTTGATGATGAATATAGGTAATAAAAGAGTGTGGAGATGCATTTTTTCCTGTTGTGGCTTGATATAAAAAAATTTCCTTTTCAAACCATTGTAAGGAGATATCTGTTATTTGTAAGTCTAACCACAGTGGGTCATTTATGCATCCTCTTATAATTTAATCTGGATACAATAGTTTTATGTTCACGTGGAAACAAATCAGAGAGAAGTGATAAGACTGCATTTGGAATTACTGGCAACTTTAAATGTTAAAAAAAATGTAGTCACAAAGGCAAGAGAACAAAAGGCCTCCTCCTGGCTGATTAGATGATTTAACCAGCAGTTGGTGCTGGCACCTAAAAGCCAGCCAGACTGTTTAAAAAAAAAAAAAAAAAAAAAAGATCTCAGGGGCTGATCACTCTGTCCTCTTGGGAAAAAAGATCTAAAGTGTGCCCTTCATTATACCTTTCTGTACACAGATTTCCCTTATGAATTTCTAATTGGAAGAAAAATATGAGGATATGGCATTGTAAGAGAAGCCAAGAGTGGACACGGTAATGAAATGTAGTGCCCCTTCTGCAAGGGAGTTTTGTCTTTTGCAATTTGGGCGGCAGAGTCTCAAGTCTTGTATTATCAGGGTGTCTCCTCCTGTCTTCATCTAAGCATCCATGACTCACAGGTTGATGCTCGCAGGGAAAGACCCAGGAAACATGGGTTGGAAAAGTAGTCACATTTATTGTAAGGAGACTTTGCAGTGTCAAGCAGCACGTGCAAGATCTTTCTCTGAATCTTTAGCAGCACAAGTCTGTTTTTGGCATTACACATGCTACATGGGGCTTGTGCTTATTGCGATACAGGAAAACAAACACTTTCAAGAGGATTTACAGTCAGCTCTACCATTTCATAATATTTAAGGCTGCAGTATTTTCATAGATGATGCAAATCTGTTCGTGTGTTTTATGAGCTATGTAAGTCTCAGCCTTTAGTACCTGGAAGGATATGTGGTCAGAGGAAGCTCTAAGAGTGTTTTCTAACAAATTCCCCATATGCTAATAGGGAGTGTTAACCACACACAGTGAGGTTAATGGAGTTCTTTATTTTCTGCTTCTAATTTTTTTTTGCACTTTTTTTTTTTTTTTTTTTGATTACAAGAAACTGGATGTTTGTGCACATGTTCAGCTCATGTGCTGGTCTTCATTCTTTCAGGGTAAGAAAGGTCTCTTTTTTCTCCTGCGGTCTTCAATGAAGTCCCCAGAGTCAAGTCCTACATTTTCTAGCCTAAAATTGTTTACTTTTATTTTATATATACACCATCAGTTTTCAACAGATGAGCTAAAAGTTAGGCAATTGAGGGTTTGGGTTTTTTGTGGGTTTTTTTTTTTTTTTTTTTTTTGTAACCTATGGAATTGGACATATTTCAAGTTGTTGACCAGTAATACCATATGTGTTAGTTTCACACACTGTATAATATGGCTTTCTTTCAGATCAGCATAATATTTTCAGAATAGCCTTCTGAGCCTAACTATGTTAAGAAAGGTTTCCAAACTTCACAGTGAGCTTTTGGGGTCTGGAAAACTTGAATCTCTTTCCTACTGCTGTGTGAAGCCATTCTGTGCTACTCTTGGTGAGATGCAGTAGCCAGCAAACAGCAAATAAAACCCTACATCCTGGGAAAGATCAATGGGCAGAGCATTTGATCACAGAAGAGCAGAAAGAGTTTCAGGAAGGATGCTAATGGCCAGATGGCCCTGCAGAGGTCTGCCAAGATTTCAGTGGCCACAGGACAATCAAGCCAATGGATGGACTGTGCTCTGCCTGTTATACAGACAGCATTTGAGCAAGGAGTCCTGGGTTTTTAACAAATATATGTGTCCAAGATTAGAAAAAAGTAGGACTTTCTATTTAGCTGCTTCCTAATAGTGGCTGGACTTTGTGATCTATGCATCTACTGCCTCATTGGCTCATTGGCTCATTGACTGCATAGCTTCTATTTGGATGGTGTTTGATTCTCACTGATTTCCCTCCTTCTCTAATATAATTACTTATTGAGTGACTGATAAATCCTGGACCCTGTGTTAGAGCTGGATATATATAATGAATAAGATGGACATGGTCTCTGCCCTCATGAACCTTGTGGTCTGGTGGAAAATACAGAAAATGGAACAAGTAGTTACAATGATGCATAATGAGAGATATGGAAGAGAAGGAACAGTGCCCTATAGGTACACGTCACAGGAGAGCCCAATATAATCTAGAGATCAGAGAAGTTCTCCCTAGAAGGGATATATAGGCTGAAACCTGAAGGGTAAGTAGGAGTTTGCCAGGAAAGAAATATGCCAGATGGAGAGGACACTGTGTATGAAGTTGTGAACAGAAACATTTGGGCATAGCTGAGCAACTGGAGGGTACAATGGAGGGAAAGATAAAATGCAGGACCTGGAGGGTGTCTGTTTCTCTCTCCCCTCCTGTACCCTAGGTATGAGGCAAACATGATGGACATGGGGAGAGGTTTCTGGTGGGTACAGAGCTTTAAATTTTGGCAGGAGGAAGTATTCCATTGGAAGTGGGGAGTATGTCTCCAGAAATGCATCATGAGAACAGGAATTGACCACAAAGGCAGAGGATTGGGGGTTAGATTAAGGTTAAATTATCCATATAGTGTAACTGGAAACAGTTTGAAAATCAATAGAATATGGAAGTAACTGAGATAACCCAGATGGCATGTGTAGAGAAAAGAGAGGACTTAAAAAGAACCCTAAAGAACGTTGACATTTAGTTGACAGAGGAAGAGCTGCAAAGAAGATTGAGGAGAGGCCAAAAAGAGAGGAGAAAAACTAGCAAACTGGGATGTCACAGAGGTAACAGAGAGTCCTTTCAGGGCTGGGATTTTCTTTAGGTGACAAAATTTAACGGAGCGCCAAAAAAACAAACAAACAAACAAACAAACAAAAAACAACAAAAAAACCCCAACCCTAATTAAGATAAATAATATTTTAACAGTATTTAAAAAAAAAAAAACAAGTTAAAGCAAAAATCCATGATGAGCAAAACATCAAATTTTTAAATAAAGACAACATCAGGATTGCTGAATTTCCATTTGCTTCAGGATCCAGTAAACCTCTTCAGGACACTATTACAGGATTAGATTTAGAAGTCTTTAAATCTAAAAGAAGTTTGATGTTTTGTTCATATAAAAAGAGGGAGTGATAAATTGTCTTAAATGTGGCTGAGAAGTCAGTCAAGAAGTGGGTTGAAATGAATCCATTTGGATTTAGGAATGAACTTCTGTTATTGGATCTTTTCTCTACCTTGTTTTAATAAATCGTAATAGAGGTTATCTTATTGTCTTTGCAAGCATAGGCACCACTTCCTAAAAAGCTAAGTCTTTTTCTGAATCAAGAGATTGTATAAACATAAACACATGGGTTTTTTCCTTTAAAAATGTTTTTTTATTGTGGTAAAACACATGTACCATAAAATTTGCCATTTTAACTATTTTAAGTGTGTTGTTAGTTCAGTAATAGTAAGTACCTTCATACTATTTAAAAAATTGTTTTAATGTTTATTTTTGAGAGAGGGAGAGAGAGAGGATGGGGTGGGGCAGCGCGAGGGGGGGGGACAGAGGATCTGAAGCAGGCTCTGCGCTGACAGCAGACCGCCTGATGCAGTGCTTGAACCCACCAACCATGAGATCATGACCTGAGCCAAACTCAGACACTTAACCGACTGAGCCACCCCGACACCCCAGTACCTTCATACTCTTGTGTAAACATTGCCACCATCCATCTGCAGAATTCTTTTCATGTTGCAAAACTGAAACTATACACCCATTACAACCTTTTTTGAGTTAAAGTCTATTTTGTCTGATTTAGTATAGCCACTCCCACTCTCTTGGTTACTATCTGCATGGAATGTCCTTTTCCAGCCTTTCACTTTCAACCTATTGGTGTCTTTGGATCTAAAGTGAGTTTCTTATAGGGGCTCCTGGGTGGTTCAGTTGGTTAAGCATCTGACTCTTGATTTCAGCTTGGGTCATGATCTCAAGGTTTGTGAGTTCGAGCCCCTCATTGGGCTCTACACTGAGGTCATGGAGGCTGATTGGCATTCTCTCTCTCTCTCCCTCTCTCCCCCCACCCCCTTTGCACACTCATTATCTCACATAAACTTTAAAAAAAGGTGAATTTCTTGTAGACAACACATAGTTGAATTATGTGTTGTTGTTTCTTTCCATTGTGCCAATGTCTATCCTTTGATTGGAGAGTTTAGTCTATTTCTGTTTAAAGTAATTATTGATAAGGAAGACTTCTGTCATTTTGCTATTTATTTTCTATATGCCCTATGGCTTTTTTGTCTCTCATTTCTTGTGCTAAGAGATGAAATCGACTGATATTAAGCACAACTTTACAGCCAAGCCTTCCCGTGAAAGTTGCAAGCCTTTAATAGTATCCAGAGTTCCAAAATAGTTACATCAGACAGATCCTGCCAGTGTAATTGTTGTCTGGGTGGGGAGACAGATTCCTGGGACTTTCTGCTACATCATCTTCCTAGGATCCTCATTCCTTAAACATACATTTTTAATCTCAAGGTATCTTTCATGTTAACTTTAAGCTGGAGTGAAATAATTCCTTTCTTTAATGAATTCATCTTTATAAGTTCTTTGGATGGATCTTTGTTCTTGCCTAAATCCATGGAACAGGAATATCTGAGGTTCAGAAATACAGACTGGGAAGCCAGATAACTAGACACAATCGCTAAAAATGTCCATGTTTACCCCTGAGAGAAGTCAATTTCTGTTTTGTTGGTAGCTTTAAAAAAAATACTGTTTGGGAGGCACTAGACTCTTTTTATTTTTTTATTTTTATTTTTATGTATTTATTTTTTGACACGAGACCCTTTAAAAATAATGTATTTCTTGACAAGTTCTTTAGTTTGAAGTACTACATATAAATCAGTGCCACATACACTACAACCCCCAGATTCCTCTCTAATAAAGACGTTTATCTGCATTCCTTCTCAAGTGCTCTGTTGCTTGTTATTTAGATCATACCTTTTGCCTTAGGCTCCAATAAGGCTTAAGATTTTTCCTTTTTTTCTTTTTCTTTTTCTTTCTTTCTTTTTTTTTTTTCCTCCTCAGATGCTACTTTTTATTCTAATCATGGCTGGGATACCTCAGATTAGAAGTAACTTGTCATATCTCAGCCATCTGCCCCAAATCTGGGGAGCTCCAGCTTCACCTCTTAGTGTGTCAAAAGCTTAATTACATTTATAAGGTAAAACATTTTTATTTATAGAACTCAGCCTTAGGATGACCAACCACTGTGGTCTGGCTGCAACTGTCCACGTGGTAACACTGAAGTCTTGTGTCCTGGTAAACCCCTTTGGTACTCAGCACACCTGGAC